AATTGCTGAATTAGCTTGGAGAATATCAAGGCACAGCTTCCTAGTGAAAAACGTGGCTGATCCATTGCAGAGTACTACAGACTTGCACTGTGCTACTCACTTTTGACTTGTTATAATTCAAGTTTTGTTTCTGGCTGGGAAAGGTGTGCCACTACCCTCACACTGGAGTTTGAAAATCCTCCCCACAAACATACACCAGTAGAGCCTGCTGGTGTGGAATAGTCTTGGGAGATGACAGAAGGAAGGGCTGTGAACATGATGGAAGCCAATGAATAAGCGTGTGGAAAAGTATTGGTGTTTGCTTACTAATGAGGTGCGCAGGGAACCTCCCTGGGCTGCTCCTCTGCCTGCAGGAACCAGCAGGGAGGAGGCTGTGGCAGCACATGGAGATCAGACAGAGCCAGTGAGTGCTGACTGCGGGGAGAGCAGGAGGAGAATCACCTGCTGGCTGCTGCTGAGGGCTCTGAAGCAAGTTCAAGTGGCTCTTAAGAGCTGTGGAGGAGCGAGAGGAGGCAGCGGTGGTGCAATGGAAAGGAGCTGTGTGGTAAACACGAGTGGCCGCCAAGTCAGATGACTCGAGCAGGAGCACGAGAGCAGTCTTGAGGAGAGCAGGACACCAGGCTGGCTAAGGAAAGAGATGAGTCAGGCAGGGGGAAGAACAAGAGCAACTGGTTGAGGAAAAGCAGGAGGCGCTTGTGAAACAGGGGGCTGGTAGAAATACTGTTGGGTGACAGGTTCTTGTTTGCCCTGGGAGATGGTAATCTTTAGCTTGGATCACAAGGAGGGGACAAAGAAAACAAGGGAGGAATTTTTCATTTGCAAGTTTCACCTTGCTTGAGAATGTAGGCAAAACTGGATATTGTTATGGCTTCAAGAAAGCACTGCCTATCCTTGGCACCTAGGAAGGTGATAGCTCCCTGCTCAGTACAGTTGATAGCAGGAGATGCTGTTTCCCTTTGATCGATACAGTGGAAAGAGAACTCAGTCAGCCAGCTGTATAAAGGATTCTCCACTGAAGAGCTAGGAAGAGTATGTGTCTTACTAGCAGAGAGCCCCTAGAGCTGCACAAGTCTCAAGTAGTAGGTACCTTATCTAGGGTCAGCTGTGGGATACAGCAGTCAAAGGGTTTTCAACCTTTAACTGGTGGATAGTGAAGGGGCACACAAAAATATAAACAAACTGACTACAGATACAAGAACATCTGTTCAAACATCTGCATTTGTTAGAAATTCGAAAGGTTTGCAGATTGAAGGGCACTGACAATGGAACTTCATGGTAAAAATAACCACTATTAAATGGTTCTTTGTTCCGCAGATTGGTTGCACTAATTGCTACAAGCAACTGTCTCTTCCAGGAAATATCAATATTTAAAAATGGGTAACTTGTTCTGAGATGGATTTGTGTTTGTGGGAAGTGTTTAGGTTTGCTTAGAATCAACTTGCTGTTCAGAGCATGATCGCTTAAGTCTTTGCTGTGGTGAGGAGGCCAGACTGTGGAGTTAACTGCAGCTACATCACAAGCTATAATTATACTCTTAAATGGTAGTCAGTTGTAAAGTTTGGGGGCTAAAGGCTCAACAGCAACTTGTGGCCTTATTAAAGCTGAGAGATTCATGGCATTAGTCCTGGAAGATCCTAGGGCTTTGTTCCAGCCTTGTGCTCTTCTGACAGACACATTGTCTTCACTTTGTTTTTATCCATTTCTTTCCTCTGGAGACAGAAAGCCCAAAGCAACTGTCTGGAGGCACTCTGAGCTGAAGCTTCAAGAAAACTGAAACTCCGGGGAGATCTTATAGCAGCCTCCCAATACCTGAAGGGGCTACAAGAAAGCTGGGGAAGGACTTTTCATAAGGGCAGTTAATGACAAAACAAGGGGAAATGGGTTTAAGCTGAAAGAGGGCAGGTTTAGATTAGCTATTAGGAAGACGTTTTTCACTGTGAGGGTGGTCAGATGCTGGAACAGGTTGCCCAAGGAAGTTGTAGATGCCCCCTCCCTGGAAGTGTTGAAGGCCAGGTTGGATGAGGCTTTGAGCAACCTGGTCTAGTGGAAGGTGTCCCTGCTGATGGCAGGGGGGTTGGAACTGGATGAGCTTTAAGGTCCCTTCCAATCCAAACCATTCTATGATTCTAAGAACGGGTGACCCAAAGACTCCTGCACGTGTCCAGCTACAGAAGTCAAGCTGATGTCACTTCAGGGCTGGATCTAGCAAAAGTATGACATGATGTTTATGCAGTGATTTGTACTGCTTAATGTTTGGAGCACGTGGGAGAGAAAGACCAGAGGAAACTTCAAGGAAGGAACATTTCGAGAGGGTTAAGGTGGCTGCAGATCATTGATTTCTTACAGCTTTGTTGTATTCAATGCAATCTGAACTGAGAAGTTGGGTGATGGGGTTTAATTGTCTTCCTGTTCAAATCTTTGTTGTTAAATCTTCTCTCTCTCCATTCTTCCCCTTGGGGAAAAAAGTCATCTAATACTTCTGCAGTCTTTTACTACAGAAATGTGTAAGCAGTTCACAAAGGCTAGCAGACAACATGTTTTATTATCAAATAAGTAATCCTTATTTCCAGTTTATAGATAAGGGAAACAGACTTGGGACTAGACTTGCCCTTAAAGATACAAGTGACCTGCATAAAACAGGACTGATATTGGGAGTTTTATTCCTTTGACTTGACTTTATCCATATTGCAACATCAAATAACTCCTTCCTTATTCTTTGGCTGCCTAACTGCAGCTTAGTTTCACTAATTGAACCCCAGCTGCCCTCTCTCTGCTGGAAGAGGCTTTCTTACAGGAGCACCAGCACAACATACCTTTCTGAAACAGTCTGTTTGCCCTGGTGCAGTTTTCCCTGCATTCTCTCTAACATTAAAGTTCTGCTGCTGAGAACACCGTGGACGGCGATGTGCTTCCTGCTCTGGCAACAGGGTGGGTTGGTACCTACGAGCTGTAAGACAAGTCTGACCTCAGTGCTTTTTTGGAAGAGAACCACGTGTGGTTTTCTCTTGGCTGTTCTGTGCAATCCCTCATTCTCCCTCCCTTTGCCAGGAAATCCCTTCTCCTGCCAACAGGAGCCAGAGGAATGTGCTGTTTGTTTACCTTCTCACTCCTTCATCCTACTAACCTTCCCACCCCCCTAGTTGCAATCCCAACAGGCTTGGCTCAGCCCTTCATCCTTCTGACAGAGTGCTACTCAGCTGAGTATTTTCAGGCAAAAGCATTGCTGCAAGAGGCTGTTCTGACCCTTAATGGGGTGAGGCCGTGGCATTCTGCAAGGCTGGGGCTGTCCTCCCGCCTGTCTTTCTGTGCCCTGGCTGGCAGCTGCTTTGCTCACTGTCACTGCATGTTGTCACAATGTGCTACAGGATAGCAGGGCAAGCACACTTCCCAGGCTCTTCCCTTTTCCACCATTCACAGAATCACAGAATGTTGGGGATTGGAAGGGACCTCAAAAGATCATCCAGTCCAACCCCCCTGCCAGAGCAGGAACCTAAATGAGATCACACAGGAAGGCATCCAGGCGGGTCTTGAATGTCTCCAGAGAAGGAGACTCCACAACCTCCCTGGGCAGCCTGTCCCAGGGCTCCGTCACCCTCATTGTAAAGAAGTTCCTTCTGAAATTTAAGTGGAACCTTCTGTGTTCCAGCTCACACCCATTGCCCCTTGTCCTACCATTGGGCATCACTGAGAAGAGCCTGGCTCCATCCTCATGACATTCGCCCTGAACATATTTATAAACATTAATGAGGTCTCCCCTCAGTCTCCTCTTCTCCAAGCTAAAGAGCCCCAGCTCCCTCAGCCTTTCCTCATCAGGGAGATGCTCCACTCCCTTCATCATCTTGGTGATGATTCCCCTGCATGATTTTGGTTTTTTGGGGTAGTCAGCTCAGAGTACCCTCTTCTCATGCTTTCCCCACTGCATGAACTGAAGAAAAACTTGTGGTTATTCCAGCAATACTGGTATCATCTACCCTGACCTTCCATTGCTATCCCAGACTGCTAAACTCCACTATTTCTGCCCCCTCTCAACAGTTCTGGCTCTGTAAAAACACCTGTAAAGCATTTATTATTTTTAAAGCCATCTGAAATTCTTGGATGAAGATGTTTGTACTGCTTAGAAAGAGAAAAACACTCACACTTAGTGTGGTTGCTAAAGGTAGAAGCCTGTTTTCTGTACTTGTAGTGTGCTGCCATCCCTGGTTAGAGAAGCCCTTAAAGTTCACTGTTTCCACAGAGTTTTATAATAATCCAAGTGAGGAAATCCTGTGTTTACAGCACATAGGAAAATTGCCATCTTGAGACTGTCCCCTCTTTGATCTATTCACATACTTTGTCTTATCTGACTTTAGCTGATTGGCAAGGATTATAAATCCCTTAAGCAGGGACTGCCCTCCTCTTTGTTTTGCAGCCTGGACACTGACAGGGCTTTCCTGGGTAGCTACATGTATAGCTTGAATTTTATGCTGGAAGACTTCATGATGGGTCTGTGCCTGGGGAGGAAGCAGTTTGTGCACTTCACACTTCCTAGACACTTCTTACACCAACACTTTCTTTAACATTTCTTTGTACCACGTAATAGTTTATCCCTCAGTTTTATTTCTTTATACCTTCAATCAAGTCTTTGGATGGTCTTGGGTAAGTACATGTGTAGCAAAGGCTGTTGCACCTTGTTTCCCTTCCTGTTTCCCCCTCACCCTTTCTGTTCCTGCACTATGCCAAAGGGTCTCACGACTGTTAGCCTGGGTGAAAGCAGGAGAAACAGAGCACACGAGGTGGGATATACTCCTACACCAGTGACAATCATGTCCCCAGCTGAGTGGTTCAGAAACCAGCTCTGAGACACACCAGAATTTAGTACTGGGAGTTCAAGCATCACTATATGATACTTGGGAGTGAATGAAGCTGTGTGAGAAGAACATCTGTTGATTTTTTTGTTGTGTTTCTCTGACAGTCTGACATTTTACCCTCCCTACAGAACAACTTGCCTGCTGGAAGAGTTGCTGGAGACTGTTCTGGAGCACATCTGCTTGCTGCTGCCATAAGGCCCACAGCCAGCCCACCACAATGTACTGCCTTCAGTGGTTGCTACCTGTCCTGCTCATACCCAAGCCCCTCAACCCAGCGCTGTGGTTCAGTCACTCAATGTTCATGGGCTTCTACCTGCTCAGTTTCCTCCTGGAACGGAAACCTTGCACGATTTGTGCCTTGGTCTTCCTGGCAGCATTATTCCTCATCTGCTACAGCTGCTGGGGGAACTGCTTCTTGTATCACTGCACAGGATCCCAGTTGCCGGAATCAGCTCACGATCCCAGCATAGTGGGCACCTAGAACACAAATAATCTACCAGTCTGCTGAGGGTTCTTTAGCTTTTAAAAAGGGGGTGGGCTAGGGAGGAGGGAAGGGGTGTTAGGCATGTGACTGGAGTAAAACCAGCCCGTTTCCTGTAACTGTGTGTGGACTAGAGTGGTGAATTCCTCCCACTCTGCCTGTGAAATTCAACTTGTTTACTGTGTGAACTCTGGCAGCACCACCTGCTTTTTTAGAAGCAGAAATCTGTTTGTTTTTTTTCCCTTCCCATATCACCGGGAACAGACACTGGCCCTCCTAACTGACAGCTGGAGGAGGGAGGACCGAGCTGCTGGCCTCTGCCCAGCTCTTGTGCGGCGGTGGAGTTGTGTGTCATTCGTCTGCATTAGGCCATGGTGGTCTAACTCAGGGCTCTCGGCCCACTTGATTCTGCTTGAGTAGCTAGCTACAAGATTCTCTCCATCTTTCTCTTTGTGGGGAGCCAGTCTTCCCGCCTTGCTGATCAAGGGCAAGCTCAACAGCTCACAGATGCACTTGGCCAAAAGCTGCTGGAGCCAGAGGCAGTTGAGTCATCTCCTCCTGCTCAGCCTGCCAAAGAGATGCGTGCACTGCCGAAGTGCTCTCTGAACTACTTCTACTCCGAGATCATAGCCTGAAAGCCTCAGTTATGCTGCTGCTTTTATAAAGCCTCACAGGTAGTGGAGACTGTCTTTTCCCCTCCTCCTAGATTTCCAGGGTTTACCAAGGTATTGACTGTTGGGATAAAGAACCAGTATGCTGCAAGATGTGGGGTTTTGAAAGCCACTGTGAACCTCAGTGTGTAAAACTCACGCTAGCCCAAAAGGCCAGGTGTGGGCAGGGCAGAGATTATCCCAAGGTGGAGGCATGGCTTGAAGCAGTAAATGCTTCAGCCCATTTCAGTGATAGTGTTTTTGGGCCAGGAGTGACAGAAGGTGCTGGTGCTACTGACTGGAGAAGGGAGGAAGCTAGAGGAGTGCCTGGTGTTTCCGTCTCCCCTGGCAGAAGGATGTCCAGAAGCCTAGGTGGTGGCGGGTCAGTCCTACAGCCACAGCTGTGCACATCTCCACGCTGCATACATTGCTCTGTAGCCATGGCTCTCGGGGAGCCCATCCTGGGGCAGAGGTTTGGTTGCAAGAAACCTTAGAGGTTGACACAAAATACTGTCTCTAAACTTTAAAGGGTTTCCTCCTCTTTGCCATCTGTTTGTCTTTACTTCCCTCATAGTAGAGAGCAGCAGAAGTGGCTGTTGCTGTCCCGAGGAAGTTCAAGCTATGAGGTTATGAAACTTCCAGAGTATTGTTTGTTCATTGCACAGCTGTTCAAAATGTTTAATAAAGCTTTATAAACTTTGGTCTGTGGCCTCCTGCCCAGCATGATGCATTGGCTGCTCATTGCAGATGCCTTAGCCCAGCAATCATGTGTCTGTATTGTTCTGTTCCCAGCACAGTAACCCCAGAGAGTCTCCAGCCAGAGGCAGAGCCTGTTTGCCCTGTAGCTCCCAGCACTGAACTGTTAAACCTGACCATGGGCAGACTGAGAGCCATACTGGTGATTCCTAACCAGGCTCATCTTGCACACAACACAGGAGGTCACTTCTGGTTGTATCTCTGCACTTAGGTGACACATTCCCCCTTTCCTTACCACTTAGGAAGTTAAACTACAGAGCTGTGTCCTGAAAGCCACCAGTCCCCAACACTGGCAGTAAAACCATTATCTGCCAGGTACCTGCATGTTGTCAGCCTGTCCGACAACACCACGTCCTCCCGACCTGTCCCACTCCTGTGGGCAGGGGCCAGGCTGCAATCCAACTGCCTTGAGCCATCCAGGGGGGAGGTTGGCTTATGTCAGCCCTTCCCCAGCCTTGGCCATGACCCTGTGTCACACTGAGAGGAGCAGGGGGACACACACTGCCAGACACGGGACTAGCAGATCTGACAGCACCCAGGAGCACCTCAGAGTGCTAAAGGGCATAGGAGCTGTGCTGCTGGAGCTGAAACCAGCTTCCTCTACCCTTCCTCCTAAGCCCTGGAGACCGAGTCCAAGTTGGAAAGTGTTCAGGGCATATCAGTGTTACATGTTTAAAAAAAAAAGTGTGTGCCACATCACCAAGAATAGGTATGACAGCTCTGTCACCTGTCAGGCCGAGGGAAATCCCAGTAGCTGTCATACCAGCTACAGCACAAATAACAAACAGAAAGGAGAGGGGAGGGCATCTCATTTACAGGCTGTGGCAGGACACTTACCTGCACTCCGAGCAACTTTTAAGTTTGAAGCTAATGCAGGCAGTTCTTTTAAGAGTACATTTTTGTTGCTAGCTAGCCAAGTTGTGCTGCACAGCAATTTAAATAAATCCTAGCCACGGAGCCAGACAGTCCTTTGGATGAGAGCAAGCCCTGGCTGTGTACGTGGGGTTGATGACAAGATGGGGCTGCAGGCTTCCCCTGCTGCGGGACCCGACTTGGAGCAAAGCAGCACTTCAAAAGCGGGGAGCTGCCAGTGTATCACAGGAGAGATCTCAGCAGACTGATGGGTAAGAAACCTGCTTTTGCAGCCCTGCCACCCCAAGTGTAGATAAAGAGCACTCTGATATGCACACAGCCCTCACCAGCACGCTGCCTTACCCTCTTTAGGGCACCGAGATACCATCTTCATTTTGCAGATAAAAAATTAAAGCAATTTCATCATGGTCAGACAGAAAGCCTCAGGCAGAGCGAGGAACCCAACCAGGCCTCACATCCCATGCTGATGCCCTGTGTGTCCTTCCCTATAAAGAGACCACGAAAAACCAGCCTGTGACTGCAGAACAGGTCAAACCCGACAGCTTTGGAACAGCATCATCACAGCTCCCTGCTTGTGCACCACAAATTGGCCTGAGCCCCTGCAGACGCGGCACCTCTGCTCTGGGGCAGGTGTTTGCTGGCTCAGAGGAGATGTTTTGTCCTGATCTCGAGCTCCTCTGCCAGAAGAGCAGTGGGGTGGCTCTGTCCCCTGGTATCCTGGAGGCACCAAGGGGTCTCTGCGTGAGGATCATACCAGTGGGGTAGCTACTAGTGACCCTGAAAGCAGTGGGGTGTAAAACACAAGCACTGTGTTGTGCCAGGTCCCGTTGAGCCTGGACACTGCCCACAAGGGCTTTGGCGAGAGCAGGTCTCGTCACCTTGCTGTGTTATAAAACGTCCATCTGCCTGGTGCTCCCTAGATACAGGGAGCAGGAGCCTTAAGCTGTTCCTTTGTCTTTCCATTTGAAGGACAGATCATTTTCTTTTCTAGGTCACATAACAGATCAGTGACACAGCAGGGTCAGGAAAGAAAAAAAACAAACAAACACCACCGCAAACTAAACCCAGGTCAGATCCCTAGAAACAGAGATGCAGCTTAGCTCAGGCAGACCTCAGGCTCCTCACCACAGTCCAGGGGCTTCTTGCTCCCCTCACCACTCGTCAGGGAGAGGCAGCATCCCAAAGATGAGCAACTGGGACACCACAAGGCTTCCTGTGGAGAAGGTTTGGCCATGACTACCAGGCTGGTAGGGCTTTTTGAACCCTAGATTTGCCAGACATCTGTGTTGGTGCATCTCATCTCACAGGGCAACATTTGGCAGTTGAGGTCCCCAGCATCACTCAGGGTGCAGGTAGGGAACCAGCTGTCTGGGGCCACCAGCCTGGTCTCCCAGCATCTGCCCATCCATCCTCAGATCTTGCTGGGTGATTAGTACCTCCTGCCTGGATGCTCTCCCTGCTTACCCCGAGACAAGCCCACAATGTGTCCTTACTAACTTAGCATCAGATGGAGGAGAGGTTGGTCTCACTGAGGAGCTGTTTGGGCTGGAAGCACCCACCGGTTGGCTTAGAGAGGCAGCCAAGTGCAGAGGT